AAATCTGCTTTATCTCTGCGGATTCCCAGGGTTTCAACATTTGAAAGGATTTCACGTGCGGCGGTAGGTGTGGATCTCATGCCGCCATAATTTATAAAACGAAGGGCATTGTTTTGGGTCTTGTCAAGTGTGTTGCAAGTTGTTGTACTGCACATAGCGAGTAGGTTATTGCTGTATTCCATGGAAGATCGGACATAACCAAGGTATAGAGAGTTTGTTTGTCTGATCCCCATGAACTCCTTGCGAGTTTCTTTAAACGTTGGAGTCTCTTTTTTTTGTCTGTCTTCTTCCTTATGTTTTTCACTTGGCTTTTCATGATTAGACTATGGTCAAGTTTGACTCCTAGGTAAGTTGGATGTTCTTCTTTAGGGAGACTTTCATTTCCTATCTTTATTTAGAGGTTTTCTTTGACTGCTTTATTGCTCTTCGTAAAGATGGTGTATACTGTTTTCATGCAGTTTATTTTAAGTTTCTATCTCTGACAGTGATGGTGGAGCCTCTTGAGGTCTTCATTTAATTTCCCTGCTTTTACTATGGTGCTGTGATGTGTCTGCCAGAGAGCAAGATCATCTGCATAAAGAGAGAGTCTTTTCTTATTTCAGCACGCTCGTTACATCATTAAAGAAGATCAGGAACAAAGTGCATCTCAGACATGAACCTTGAAGTATGCCTTCATTGAGTACTTCTCTTGACGAGTGGGCATTGTTTACCTTGGTTTCAATGTTTCAATCCAACAGGAAGAACTTGATCCATTTGTAAAGTTTGCCATGTATCCCGAGGTCCATCTTTTTCCTGAGTAGGCTTTTTCTCCACACTCTGTCGTACGCTTGTTGGAGATCTACAAAGATGGCGACAGTGTGTTTAGTCTCCTGAAATCCATCCTGGACGTTTTGACTCAGTTTAAAAAGTTGATCATCGGTGTTGCTGCCTTAACTAAAGCCTGCTTGGTATGGGTTTAAGCTGTTAGTGTTTTCCATGTACCAGTAGAGGTGGTTGTTTATCATTCTTTCCGCAAGCTTACCAATACATGATGTTAATGAGATAGGTACCTTTTCGCTTCTCCAGGTGGTTTCCCATTTTTCAGGAGCGGTATAATATGGGCAATCCTCCATGCCTTAGGTATTCCTCCCGTTCTCCACGTGGTGTTTATCAGGGAAAGAAGAGCTTCTTTTCCTTTAGCACCAAGGTTCCACAGCATTTCGTTGTGTATTTTATCTGGTCCTTGTGCTTTCTTTTCCTTTAGCTTTTTGAAGGCCTGACTGAGTCCCACCATGCTATAATCCTCTTCAAAAAGCGAGTTGTTCACAGTAGGGGCTTTTTCTTTATGCTTAGCCTTATTTATGAGGAGTCTATCAGCCTCGGTTAGTCTGCCTGCCCTGTTTACAGAGGCGAAAAACTGGTTTAAATGTTTGGCTTTCTTCTGGTCTTCAGTGATGGTGCTGCCTGAAAGGTTTTGGGTTGCTTTTTTGTCTTTCTCTCGAGAGGTTGCTGACAAAGAACCAAGCCTTTGTTCCATTGTGGCGAAGGTCAAGATCTTTGCAGGCTTGAGTCCATTTCTCTTTTTGTTGGCTTTTTTTACTATTATTTTCACCTGAGCGCGGGTTTTGTTGTAGTGTATTTTGTTTATTGGTGATGGTGATTTTTCCAATGACTGTCGTGCTTTCTCTCTTTCTGCCACAGCAGTCTGGATTTCTTCACTCCAAAAGGGTTTGAAATTTCTTCGGCATCCCATGGAATGTGCTGAAATGCAGCTTTAAGAATATTTTTGGTGACTTGCTCATTAAAAAGATCAGCATCTTCTGTTTCTGCTATGCTAGAGAGCAATTCGTCCGAGGTCTTTTCGTATTCTGCCCAGTTGACTTCCTTAAAGTTCCATCGAGTCCTCTGAAGGTGGTTCAATTCAGATGGGGAGGTGATCTGTATAAATATAGGCCTATGATCACTTCCTATGTCATCAATCACTTCGATACGACAGGAGTTTTTAATGTCAGATGAGCAGATGGTGAGATCCGGCCGGTTGAGAGTCAAGTGGGCTCTGTAAAGTAAGGTAGGAGTTGAATTGAAATCTTGTAACACAGATAGGTTGCTTGTTTCGCACAGCTCCTCAATCTTTCGGCGTGTACCGTAATAGTTGACGTAGCCCCATTCAGGAGAATGACCATTGAAGTCACCCACAGAAATGGTTTTCTCATAGTAGGCTGCTTGCAGATCAGACAGGTCGCATGTTGTCTGTCGGGGGCTGTAAACATTGTAAAGTGTGTACTTCCTACCAATGTGCCATATGGTGGCCTTCTGGATATCTGTCAGTTGGGCAGATGATAAGTGTACATCTCCCTGAACATCGCTTCATAGGAAAGTGACTACCCGCGGCATCCCGGGCATGTGCAGGCGTAGCTGGTGTATCCTGTGAGGTTCAGGTCCGTACCTTTGTGTAGGGTTTCTTGAAGGAGGGCAACATGAATCTGCCTGTCCTTCGGGACTTTGAGGAGTTCTGTTTTCTTGTTCCTCAAACCACAGATGTTGAGTTGCAAGAGGTTGAGGGAACTCTTCTTCTGGTTGGAGATGAAATTGGCTCCCTTCTTACACCGAGAGCTTTTCCATGCTGATTTAGCACTGTTTCTGGGTGCATCACTAGTAGCTGACTTGTCGCTCAGAACAGCCCGGTGATTGCGCTGCCTGGCGCGGACCTTGTTTAATGAGGCGACGTCCGATCTCACATGTAGTTTATTTCTTTGTGTCATGGCATTGTGGACCGGGGTGTCTGTGGACTGCCTGCCTGCCTACCCGAGAAGAGGCAATTCATGTTTAGGATAGGAGGGTACAAGGGGTTTTCATGAGACCGGAAAAACTTAACTGCCTTGTGACCGTGGAATTCTGGTAGGGTTCACGTTGCCCATTCCAAGCCCCCAATGGCTACTGGCTAAAGTTTTCAACTCTTGCATGAGGTATCGGCCAAGTGGGAAAGCCATTGAATCGTCACTCCTGGGTCGTTGTACCTTCTAAGAGGTACACGGCCAGAAGGCAAGTCGGTCATTCCGCTCCGTCCATCCCCTGCTCCCAAACACTCTCAACGTGGCTGGTACCTTCTCAGTCACAGAGGGTGTGTTGATAAAAAGCAGTAGAGGTGTTAGGCAGATTAGACATCCTCTCAAGGGAGAGTAGGGGTGTGTTAGGTCTACCACGCATCGGTGGGTTCTGCCTCCTGCTCCCATCCTGTTGTTTTAACCCCTTTAGGAAACTGGGGGGGGGGGGTTGTTGGCGCCAACAACTCGTCATTCGTCAGAGCCGTGTCAGTGTGGACAGGGACCATCACGGTAGGTACGGTTGGCTGGATTGGGAGAAGCTGTTTGAGACGCTTAGGTATTTCTCAATATTTAAATGAGACTCATTACCAGTCCTTGATCCCCGGGCGCTCTGTTAATTTTGTTGGTATTATGCTGGACTATGAAGCGGATGACCCCGGTTCGAATCCCAGACTGAGTGTTCTTGAACTGGTGTCGTTTTGAGGAGTTGTAAAGGCTCTCAACCCATTTAGCTCGGTCCTGTCAGAGACGAACGTTAAATTCGGAGGTCCCGCCTCTTAAATAAAGTAATAGTGTTGATAGGGGCGTTAAACCCATACACATAACATTCTAGTCATTTAACAACACCTGAAGTTGAAGAAGCAATCTTTTATTGCTTTTTTATAATAATGAAAAAGAAGCAAAACATCGTTGCCAGTATAACAGATTTTTCAGTTTTTGCCTCCATTATCTGAAACAATAATTATTTGCATCATTTGTTTCTGAATACGGGAGATAGCCTATATCTGCACCAAACTTTTTTTCCAGAGAAAGTTCCATTTTATAATGAGCTACAAATTTGGAAAGAATTTGTTCCGTAGAAAATAAGAACTTGAATTCTAAGTTTGGGTAACACACGGAAGGCAGACTGTAAGAGTAATGCACTCTTGGAAAGGTTAAGGTGGTCCGTGATTCAGTAAACTCTGACCAATATCTCGTTATCTTATCATGGTTCTTGGGTAGCTTTGGACTAATTTGTTGATGATAAAGGGAAAATGAACCAGAACTTTCAGCAAGATAGGGCTGCTTGTCCTAACGCCAGAGTTGTTCTGGGCTAGGTCGACAACCATTTTGGTTACAGAACAGTCAATCCGACTGAGCGCAACTGGACCAAAAACGATCCGAACCTGAGCCCACCGGACTTTCAACATTGGGGGTGTTTGAAGGATAAATCGTGCGGGAAAACCTTCGAAAGTAACCGAGACTTTCGAGAAACCATGACATGATGGAGGGAACGAGAGAGATTTTCGACTAACAGTGCCAGCGGGTATTTGTCAATTTCGGTCAGCGTATCAGAATGTGCTTTACTCGAAATTTGGGGTATCTGCCTGATATCTTGTAACTTTGTTTGTGGCAGTCATGTTCTACTATTATTAAAAAATGATAAAACCGAATGGATGTTCCACGTTACTGCAAGCTTTGGTATTTCTACTTTTAATCATAATAATTTTATCTGCGTTCTTTTGGACGTACTTTTTTCTGGTCACCTGATATAACCCCCTATCTCCAACCCCACTCCTCCCCTCCCTCCAAACCACAAAAAAAATTAAATCAGTGAAAAGGATCCTGGACACAGCCTTCCAGTCCCCCCCCCCCCCCAGAGATCTGAACTCTACAACACCCCCCTTACCCCACCCCCACCATCAACGACCACATTCCTTATCGGTAGTAAGCAGCAGTTGCTCTGGTGTAGTTTGCTCCTTCTTTCCTATCAAACACATAATGTCCTTCTCTCTCCTCCTTCTTTTCTATGTAATTCACTGGTAAAACGTTGGCGCTAATTATTATAAATGTATATGACCTATCTGTGTTGGGATTGCCCTAAAACTCTTACTCTAACTAGACTACCACTCGTCTCCCCCTGCTGTCCTCCCTCAGGTCAAGCAGATCTTGACCCCGAAGAGAAGCGCAGTTATCATCTGCAGTATCTACATCATCATGGTGTTATTAGGCATCTTTCCAGCCGTCTCCGCCATGTACTTCGACTGGAAGTTCTTCCCTGACAGGAACATGACACTCATCGGCCTCAAGTTTCATGCCGGGGGAGGAGAGACAAAGCTTGTCTCCTTCTCCTTGAACGTTATCTCTCTCCTCTTCTCCTTCCTCCTCGTCGTCGTGTGCACAGCTATCCTGGTTTATAAACTGATCTCCAAGACAAAATGGCGACAGGAAATGTCAGGGGCCGCCCCAGACGTGAAGCAGACGTCAGTGTCACGTGACCAGAAAGTGGTGAAGATGGTAGTGTTCATCTCGGCGGTCTATATTGGTTGTTTCTTCTGGAGCGCGGTCAGCATGATTATCTCGATGCTAGTGCCTGGTTACAGCGTGGTGGGTCCTAACAAGAACATGTTCCAAACCGTCTGGTCCTTTCTGCTGCTGCTAGAAGGGACAAACTCCAGCGTTAATATGTTCATTTACCTCAAGATGAGTTCCAAGTTCCGCAAAGTTTTCACTGAGACATTTTCTTTTCGGCGACAGAACTCTGTTAAAACTCGTTAATACTGAGACGATTTACGCGTCGTACCACCATTCCTTGTCACAAGTCTCAAGCCTGTATAAACTGGTAGACCTTCAACTGAACCAATCGTCAGTCAGGTTCGGTGGTAGACCCTAACGTAAACTTAACCAGAAACATCGCAGTAGAACTTCAATTGCGCCGGCACCCATGAAACAAATAAAGGAACAATTTGACATCTTGAGAATTGTAATTAAGTTGGACATTTAATACAACACTACATTTTCATTTTACTTTTTCTTTTCCTTTTTCTGTTTCCTGGGTCACACGCCCACCTTAAGAAGAGCATGAAGTGAAGTTTGTGGTCTAGCAGAGCTGATGGTCTACCATACCAGTGCATATTGAGCCTACTCAAAATAAGTTACAGCACTACATGTTTTTATAAGTGGTTAGGCTCTCAGACTCGCAACCCTAAGGTCATGGTTCGAATCCCGTCAGGGACCCGACGTAGTGTCCTTAGGGAAGGTACTTTATACGAATTTTCCTCAATTCATCCAGGTGGGAATGGGTACTCAGCCATAGACAGTGGAAGATCTTGTCAGTTTGTTAGTGTTAGGAAGCTTAATCAGCTGATTGCGTTGTATGCTTCCCGGGAAGCTAAGAATATGTCTGGGTGCTCTGTGGTCTGCTGGGGTAATAATATAGAGTAAAGTGCATTAAACTTTCTGTAGAGCGGGGTTACGCGGTATACAAATGCTACTTATTATTTATTATTATTGTTATAACATCTTTGTGTATTCAACAGTTAGCTCCTTAAAGACTTGAAACTGGCGTCTGTGGTGTAGCGGTTATGAAGGAAGATGATTCTTTGTCACCTTAATATCACACTGCCAACGCAATAATAATCACGAGCGTCTGGTCTTTAGTGATTATGGGCTTCAATGTCACACACAAGAAACCCGAGTTCGATTCCGAGTGAGTGAAGAGAATAATTTCAACGAGAATCTCGGTAATTCTGCAGATAAGTTGTATCCCTCTCAGTCCTGGTTGGCCCTGACAAGCAAGGTCGAAGACCGACCCCCCCCCCCCCCCCCCCCCCATTATAAACCCGGTATTGTGTCAATGAGGGCGTTAAAACACTTGCATTAAAACCCACCACAACAGTAAAATAATACATTTTTTCTCGGGGCGACGGCACAACAACAACAACAACAACCCAGCAAAAGAACGGCAGCGGGCGGCGGAAATTTTTAAAAAGAAAAATATTTCATTTGTAACAACAGCAACAACAGCGCAACAACAGCGCAACAACAACAACGACAACAACAACAACAACAATTTGTCGGGTCCAAAGGCCGCCAAATTACTTATGAATAAGCGGGGCCCCACGAAAAAAGTAACTTACAAAAGACCCCCTTATATGCCATACGCGGACGAAGGTAGAATACCGGTGCTATTTTTTTTAGTGTTCAAGCATGTGAAATCTGCAGCTTGCACTGTACACTACCCGGGAAGCCGAGAAAGTTCTTGGGTCTGCTGGAGTAATAATACTTGCTGTAAAGCGCGTAGAGCACGCTATAGAAAGGGAGTATAAATAATATGAGCTACGTAAAAGCAAGTAGTAATAGTAGTAGTAGTAGTAGTAGTAGTAGTAGTAGTAGTAGTAGTAGTAGTAGTAAATAAGAGGAAATATACTATGTCTTTATTTAAATCTCTCTTGAATGAACAGTTTATCGTGTCGCTTCAAACCTACATACAGACGTCTTAGAAATGAAGGGGTTAAATTCTTCAGCTCAAACACAAGCAAACAAAAAGAAGAATTAGAAAGTAAAACCCGTGCCTGGCCAGCGGGTATGTTTGGAACTGGTGTCAAATGATTATGAAAATAATTTATATTTCTGAGTTCAGGGTCCCTACGTGCCGTTAACGATGAACTTCCATTAAAATGTAATGTTCGTTTTTCTAATGCTCTACACCACATGGATTTTCTAGAATAACAATAAATGGCATAGATTCTAACCTTTTGCAAAGTTTTCTAAAATGCTGGAACAAATTTAATAAGTAATTGGAAGAGGCGGGACAATGTCGTTTTTGACTGTTAATCAGTATCGTTTCAGTGTATTTAAATTACAGGGAAGGCATTGTGTGGGCCTAAAGCGCTTTGACGTAATGAAATGAATTTTGAGTTCCTCTTGTTACAAATGAAAAATTCTTCCTTTTTAAAGATTCCCCTTCAGTTTCATTTCCTTTGAGGGTTGGACTTTTTTTCCCGAGACCATATGACCAGAGAAGTATTTTTATGAGCAAGTTTGTTGATAGTGGATTTCTCAGTATTTATTTCAACCCGACTAAATCCAACGGTATATGTATGTATGTAGGGGGGGGGGGGGTCGTTTGGTATTGTTCTTAAAGAATAAAACACATTTCTCTAGCTCTGTACCTTGCGTTCCTCTTTCTTTTCCAATTTAATTTTGGCAACTTCATGAAGTAAGCACCAGATGTATGTTCTATACTATGAACCTCTAAATGTGGAGGTGATACAGACCTTTACACTTTTTGTGTATTCCCTTTATCTGTATAGCGTTCTTTTTGCTTTCCGTGGGCAAAATCGCTTCAAAATAGTTTGAGTGGTGCTCTGGTGCACTTGCTCCACCTGTGGTATCCAAAATCTATAATAGTCCTTACCCCATTCCTTTTCCCCTTCTCTTCTTTGTAAGTTATTCTCTCGAAACACCTCTGATCTCCAGGACTTATTTGACATGTTTGTGTTGCAAGTATGGTAAAATTCTGCCTTAAATTACTTATTTTACTTGTTCCTCCCTCTGGTATCCTTAGACTGTCGAAGGGAGGTGCAAGTTTCGGTCCTGGGCTTGATGAGTACCGTCTTTGATAGATATGTTATGTTGTTCCAGGACCTTTTTAACCCCATCCAGCCTGGTCTTTCTTGGTCTTCCTCTTTATTTGAAGCCGGATTGTCGTGTGTTGTAAGCTCTATCCGCTAGTTGTTTGTGGGACATTCTGGTTAGATGTCCAAATCATTTGACTTTTTGACGCTCTATGAATTCTATTACTGGTGGTATTCCGGTTTGTAGACGTATGATTTCGTTTCTTAGGCGTTCTCTTCTTGTGACGTTGATGGTTTTGAGGATACATCTCAATTCGCATGCATTGATTTTTCTTTCGTCTACCTTGTTTAGAGATCAAGTTTAGCAGGGGTATGTTAATGTTGGTATGAAGATGCTATTGATGAGCTGAGATTTCACTTCGGTTGGAATGTTCTTGTGACTGAGCGGGGGTGCTAGCTGGTAGGTCACTGCATTTGCCTTCATAGGTCTTGTTTCTATTTCTTTGTCCATATGCCAATTTTGTGTGAAGATGCTTCCTAAACATTTAAATTCTTCTACTTGTTGGAGCTGTGTTCCATCAATAAGAATGTAGAGATCCCTGTGTTTCTGCTGACCTTCATAACTTTTGTTTTTTTAGATCGAGATTTTCATGTCCTTAGGTCATTCCATTTGTACCAAGTTTTTTCTCAATCTTTCTAGCTTCCAATTTCTAAAAAAACACAATGATTTGTGGTTCCTTGTCTCCTAATCCACATATTCCTTGTTCCAATTTTCGTTGTTCTATCTCGTGTCCATTTGACGTTTTCATTCTATCTATCTATCTCTCTGTCACATACACACACACACACACACACACATACACACACGCACACACACACACACACACACACACACATACACACACACGCACACACACACACACAGACACACACACGCGCGCACGCACGCACGCACGCGCGCCTCGTTTAGATAACATCTTGCCTTTCAATTAAAGCAACCATTTTTAAGACGTTATTTCTGATTAACCTTTAGTATCTAACGCTGCGTTGCATTGATTTCTGTTGGATAAGACTAATGTTGCATGCATGCCCCCCCCCCCCCCCCACCTCATCTTTTCCTCCTCATATAATAAAAGTTGAAGAAGATCACAGGACAGTGGTGCATGTTCTCTGAATGTTCTAGAATCATATTATTATAGTGAAGAATGGAAGCAGCAATAAATTTCAGTGATTGTAAAATTCCATTTCATGTTTATAATTTTATAACTAATAAATACTTCTAACATTTGGGATCTAATATTATTAACGATTACCTCCATTTATCTTAATCTATTGTAGAGCGTCTCCTGGATTGTTTCTAATTCTAAGGCGAAGTTTGAGACGTTGGGTGTAAAACTTACAACTGTTTGTAACTACATCAGCTGTTTTACTGTAAACAGACGCCAACTTCGGAGACTGGAAGTGGAAACAAAACCCTCAAAACTTTGAGACGGTCGTGAGATATGCAGATTTAATATTATGGGAACGTCACATTTTGCAAATCGCCATGGTGCAGGTGGACAGGTTTTTGCTTTGCATGTTTTCCTGTGCTTGCAGTTGTGTGTAGGTGTCTCACCAGTATCCGTCCTTAAAACAGCTGAGAGTCACGGGACAGAAAATAGCAACACGGAGCTACGCGATTTTACTCAATCGAGCATCAAGACAAACGTAAACGAAACTTTCTTCATTTCTGAAACAAATTCCATTAAAAATAATTCATCAAATAAGGACATTCCTGATTTTAATACAGAAGAAGGCAACCAGTTCACAACCCAGAGTCATGTAACCGAGGATAATAATAACAGGAAGGACTTAGATTCTCTGCAAGCTGGGAATAGTCCTAATGAGAATGGAAACTGTTGCAGCGGTGAAAAGAATGTGGAGAAATCATTCGATTACAGGGAGGATAACAGTGTTGAAAATTTGTACGATTTCCGCAATGACGAATTAGCTGCTGGCATTAATCCCGGGTCAAATTTAGACACGAAACCACATGAGGACAGAGGTCCTTTCTCTGAAGAAGATGTGTCTGGAGACAACCTTTTCTCAGACTTCCCACTTTTGGCTGATGATAAACTTCCTCAAATGAATCCCAGCTCAGCGACCAGCGAAGAGATAACCACTGTGATTGCCAATGAGGAGAGACCTACTATAGTGACC